AGAACAAGAATTTTTAGGTCTTATTTTTGTTAGAACAAGAACTTTTAGGGCTTATTTTTATCAGAACAAGAATTTTAAGGTCTCATTTTTATTAGTACAAGAACTTTTAGGTCTTTTTTTATCAGGAGAACAACTTTTAGGTCTTATTTTTCTTAGAAAAACAACTTTTAGGTCTTTTTTTTTATCAGAACAAGAACTTTTAGGGCTTATTGTTATTAGAACAGGAACTTTTAGGTCTCAATTTTGTCAGAACAACTTTTAGGGCTTATTTTTATCAGAATAACAAATTTTAGGTCTCAGTTTTATCAGAACAAGAATTTTAGGGCTTATTTTTATCAGAACAAGAACTTTTAGGGCTTATTTTTGTTAGAACAAGAACTTTTAGGTTTTATTTTTATCAGAGTAACAACTTTTAGGGCTTATTTTTGTTAGAACAAGAACTTTTAGGGCTTATTTTTATCAGAACAAGAACTTTTAGGGCTTATTTTTATCAGAACAAGATTTTTTAGGTCTGATTTTTATTAGAACAACAACTTTTAGGGCTTATTCTTATTAGAATAAGAACTTTTAGGACTTATTTCTATTAGAACAAGAACTTTTTGGTCTTATTTTTATCAGAATAACAACTTTTAGGTCTCATTTTTATTAGAGCAACAACTTTTAGGGCTTATTTTTATTAGAAAAACAACTTTTGGGTCTTATTTTTGTTAGAACAAGAATTTTAGGGCTTATTTTCATCAGAACAAGAACTTTTAGGTCTTATTTTTATTAGAACAAGAACTTTTAGGTCTCATTTTTATTAGAACAAGAATTTTAGGGCTTATTTTTATCAGAACAAGAACTTTTAGGTCTTATTTTTATCAGAATAACAACTTTTAGGTCTGATTTTTATTAGATCACAAACTTTTAGGTCTCATTTTTATTAGAACAAGAATTTTTAGGTCTTATTTTTNATTTTTATTAGAACAAGAACTTTTAGGGCTTATTTTTATCAGAAAAACAACTTTTAGGTCTGATTTTATTAGAACACAAACTTTTAGGGCTTATTTTTATTAGAACAAGAACTTTTAGGTCTTATTTTTATTAGAAAAGCAACTTTTAGGTGTTATTTTTATCAGAATAACGACTTTTAGGTGTTATTTTTATTAGAACAAGAATTTTTAGGGCTTATTTTTATTAGAAAAACAACTTTTGGGTCTTATTTTTGTTAGAACAACAATTTTAGGGCTTATTTTCATCAGAACAAGAACTTTTAGGTCTTATTTTTATCAGAATAACAACTTCTAGGTCTCATTTTTATTAGAACAAGAACTTTTAGGTCTCATTTTTATCAGAACAAGAACTTTTAGGGCCTATTTTTATTTGGAAAACAACTTTTAAGTCTTATTTTTATCAGAATAACAACTTTTAGGTCTTATTTTTATCAGAACAAGAATTTTAGGGCTTATTTTTATCAGAGCAACAACTTTTAGGGCTTATTTTTATTAGAAAAACAACTTTTGGGTCTTATTTTTGTTAGAACACAAACTTTTAGGTCTCATTTTTATCAGAACAAGAACTTTTAGGTCTCATTTTTATCAGAACATGAACTTTTAGGTCTTATTTTTATTAGAAAACAACTTTTAGGGCTTATTTTTATCAGAATAATAACTTTTAGGTCTTATTTGTGTTAGAACAAGAACTTTTAGGTCTCAATTTTATCAGAATAACAAGTTTTAGGTCTTATTTTTATCAGAACAAGAACTTTTAGGTCTCATTTTTATTAGAACAATAACTTTTAGGTCTTATTAGAACAACTTTTAGGTCCCATTTTTATCAGACAAACAACTTTTAGGTGTTATTTTTATCAGCACAAGAACTTTCAGGTCCCGTTTTTATCAGCCCCAGAACCTCTGGGGCTCCCTGGCTGCCCGTGCTGTCCGGGCATTCCCTCCCCCCGCGGTGTCCCCTCTCCCTGCGCTCCCCCAGGGGATGTTTTAGCAGGGCCAAGGCCCCTTCCCCTGTCCCCGGGGTGGGGAAGGGCAGGAATTCCCCGTTTCCCGGCCCCAGAGGTGCCCCTGTGCCCGCTCTCCCCAGGCCATGGCCATCATCAACGGCTGCCTCTACGTGTTCGGCGGCACCACCGGCTACATCTACAGCACCGACCTGCACCGGCTCGACCTCAACACCCGGGAGTGGGTCCAGCTGAAACCCAACAACATGTCCTGTGACATGCCCGAGGAGAGGTGGGCATGGGAAACCCCCAGCAGGGGTTTTGGGATTGTTGGCAGGCTGTGAGGGAGGAGCTGGTGAGGGTTTGGGAGTGCAGGAAGGGCTTTGCCGGGACGCTGAT